ATGAAATTCTGATTCAGAGAATGGAAGATCTAAAGAAGCGGTTTGTTTGGACAGGCTCCTAGCATCTGAGGACTTGCGTCTGTCACGTCCCTGTGCAACATGGTTTGTCACAATCTTCAGTCTCTGTTCGTATTCATCCATCGTGTGTTCCAAGTTCAGAGAGTGAACACAAAAAAAAATCAACGTCTCCACCTTTATCAATTTCTCTTTGCGGTAATCGCATCTCACGGTGTACATTTGTTCGTGATAAAAAACAATATTTTATTACAGGTCATCAGCTTTGAGGCTGTAGTCCCCAGGGGAATAGATGTGACCAAAAACATAAACCTGACAAACCGCATCACTGCAACCTGCGTGTGAAATCCAGGATTGATACCCTAACCTGTTATTTACGTGCATACCATGTGTGCCAACCCCGTCTTCCATTGCCAAAAAGTGGAAAGTCTTCCCGATATAATACGATGACTTCCGTCCCCAAAATAACTTTGATCACGGACGCAGTGCCTTCCGGGCCCATCTTATCTGCTGATGGTTTGGAAAGACTTTTTTACAAATTGTATTGAGAGAAATTTGCTCCACTGTGCACTGTCGTCTTCGGTTTCTTAGGTATGAATGTCTCACAGATGCTGTGGGCACCCCTAATTGGAGGCTACGCCACAAAATGTTCTTCACTCGTAATGTCAGATGGGTTGTACATTACCTTGATCCAGGGTCTGGTCTGTGTGTTAGAATCGTATTACCACTAGTGTAATTTGAGCACACTGGGCTGGTTTTAAATCAGTGGCAGGCAGACAACAGTTAGCAAGTATGCACAATTTTAGTGGTAAGCACGTTGCTTTTACTTCTTATGAATTCCAGTCACCGCCAATAACTTTAGGCCCACAACTATTTCAGTTGTTTGTACATTTCCCCCGCATATTTATAAATTGCTGGACTGCGTAATTTTCTGTTAAGTCTACATGAATCACAAAGGTTTCAGTGTTATGTTTCTACTAAAATTTGAAATTTTCAACACAAAATCGCAACCCTTTCCCACAAGGTCTTTACAAATACAAGGTTAACTGGACGTTATTGGGGATGTGTTTTTCAGATGTTTTTGAATAGTGTTAAAGGTGTATGCTTATAGTTGTGAAGAACTGAAATCAAGAGGTCATGTGTATTATGCACTTAAACACACACATAAACAAAGACCTTGTTTAACCACAGTGGAAGAATTGTCCTTTTGTCATGACTTTTAGTGCCAAATTGATGTTTATTTTTAATTGTATATTTAAAGAAAATCCTTTCCTGGCACACGTTGCCAGCAGTTCACACGCATAAACTCTTACAGTCAATCAGATTTGAATGTGCCCAGACAGAGTGAAACTCTATTATACTGACTTGTTATGATTGTCACGGTGGGTCTTTGAAATGTTCAGAAAGTCAGGTACTGACTTTGAAAGAGTTTAAACAGAGATGGCTTTGTAACGCTGGCTGAAATATTTTTGGGGGGCACCAGAGGAGGTCACACTCCATTCAACCCTTGCATATTCTTCACCTGATGTCATTGACCTATTAAAAAGAATGCCATCAAAATCTATTTGCACACTGGGCCAAAGGTTATCATCAGCAAATGTACAGTGTGAAACAGGTTTTTTGATCCTTGGTTCAGAAAAAAAAAGTACTTAAAATTTTCCTTCCTTGGCAAAACACAAATGATTTGAGGTCAGATCCGATGTATTTTTGAAATATGCATGCCAAGTTCTTCAGCGCACCACGTTTTAATAAAGTATGTGTTGGGCCGTGTTTCCTTTTACTATACCATTCTGTTCCATCTGTGAATTTGTTTTAAGATTTGGACTTTTGTAAAAATACATGTAGGCCTAGCTACATTTCTTTGGAGTCCTAATTGGAAGAGGACATTATGTTGTTTCCCTACAGAGAAAAGATTAAAGAATGAGGGAAAGTAAGTATAATTAAAAATGTGATGTTACAGTTATCTTGGCTCTTAGATAGATATTTTAAACACTATTTTGAATGTGCTCACTGCATTTACTGTGTTTATTGTTCATATCAAAAACCTTTGTATAAACTAGACACTTTCTATTCCAGTATTTTCTCACATCTTTAAATTTTGTTTTAGTAATTGTTCAGTGATCATCATGTCATCCTGTCAGGAACAATGGGAAGAACATTTTCACTCCCTCGGGTTTGATATGTTTCAGGCATTTTGACAAAGGCTGATGTAGATTTCTGTCCTCCACAGTGTGAAAAAAAACCAAAAACGCATGGTTAAAAGCCACGGTAAAATGCATTTAAACGGTTTCTCAAGTGCAGAAATCCTAGTACTGCAGATGTATTTTTTACCCAGAAGATCTCGAACAACTCAGAGCTTGTGCATGGGGTAGTAAAGAAAAGGCCATCTGAAATGTTTTTGAAGTTCATCTATTTATGAGGTTATGCAGCTGAGGGTAATGACTTGTCGACAGCATTGTCACATGACTTACCAGTAACATGTACAGGTGGTATTTTTCCAGCTTAGGGAAGAAAATTGCTGTACTTGTCAGTTATGTTTGGACCTGATAATAACTCAAGAATTCTAAACTGGTTGGTCGTTAGTTTTGTCAAACCGGTATTTTTTAGCAAGTCACAATGATGAAGTGATTTTCGTGCATGTAGATTGAATATTTTTCTCTATTGTATTAAATCAAGTGACTCAATTGCACAATGTTGTTTAAAAAAAAAAGAATGTTTCGTACCTACAAAATGTGTCTAGGGAATAAATATGAAAACCTTGCCCAGGAAAAACCAGATCTCTTTTTGTATTGTGTCCTTATGATGTCTTGGTCATTCTGGTTTCAATATCTTGTATTTGACTCCTTCAGTTTTAAAATAACGACCACTTTTGACCTGTTTTTTGAGGGAGTGCTTTGCGATGGCACATCATGCATGGCAGGGGTCAAAGGTGATTTGGGGTCATTCACAAAACAGGTCAAGTTTCCATGATATTTGTAGATGCACATGAACTGAAGTGTAATAATAAATTGTTCCCTGTTCCTTGCATTACTTAAAATCCCTGATCCCCCAAGAGCCAACAGAGGGCTTTGTGATTCGCGGTGATGAATGATTCAAAAGCATGATGGGAATTAAGGCCATGGCGAAATCAATCGCCACGGAAACTAGGTGGATTAACCAAGATTCTCCAAATTCCAGGCATCCACCGTATCATTCACATGCGTTCGCTATGGTTGTCTGTTTCTTTTTTTTTTAAATGCCTTAATACCATTGAAGACTCAACGTCTAACACAGACGAGATTAAATTCAGTCTGGAAATTGACATGCACAAAATATTGCTAGTAATTGTCAGACTAAGGTATTTTCCAACATATGATCCGACAAAACTAATTGCACATGTCTAGCATGTGTTTTATCCTTAGCATTAAATGTCGAATAAACGCCAGCTGCTTTGTATGTAACATTCAATCAATGTGAATAGTAATTCAAATCCTATGTAAATCCACACCTCGTTGGTGACTAAAATTTCTTTAGCACCTGGACATGAAATTTGATGTTCTCAGATACAAGCGAACCTGCTGAAGGCATCTGAGTCATGTTCAAGCCGTCCTTGTGCCACCTAGGTACACTTGCTTGACATCAGATCTGGACGAAATGCTGCTGGAGAATCCGATGGCATTTGCTGAGATATCAGAGTAAATACTTGCCGAATGGCAAATCGGAATTGCAAACGCCCCTCGATGAATTCAACATCTGTTTAAACGTTTCACATTTCAGAGGGCAGTCTGTCTAAAACCTGCCAACAAAATGCCAGTCCATTAAAGAAACCAGCTGCCCTATTCATCATCTTTCCCGTTCACACAACTTATTACGGGAAAATTGGTCTTTAAGTAGGACAAAAATTTCAGAGCAAAGAAAAAAGAAGGCTGCATTTCCCACTTATTGTGGAGGCACTGTTTAGAAAAATACAAGCTCCACCAATCAGCACGGAGGAAAAAGAACACCATGTAATCAGGTGGTCCTTGTAAGACAATGGAAAAAAACAAGAAACACTAATTATTAAAGGGGGCATTGTCAATGGCAAAATAAACACAATTTTCTTGGAAAAAGCTGGGGATTCTTGGCTGGTAAGGCCTGAAAAATACCACAGAGCTATAAAATAGAGTTCACAATTAATACCACTCCCAACAAAAAGGGGCAGAGGAAACACATATGTTGTGGACAGTTAGTCAGTCACTGCCTGGGGGTACCTCCTCTAGTTTGGTCAAAGTTTAGATGAATAATAAGCCCTTAAATTCATTGGAAAGTGCACTGATGCGTGATGCCCTAGACTGCTCTAGGGTTACCACCCCCTGGAGGGTTGTACAAGTCAAATGAACCAGGAACAAATTGCTACAAAAATTCATCAGGCCTTGGAGGTGTCCTGTCCTTCACTGTATAATCAGCAGTCTGGTGTCTTTATTTACACTCTGGGTATTATTACATTGCAAAGTTATCTCAACAGCATCCTTGGGTGGGTGGAGGTCAGATCTGTTATCGATTAATAGTGCTACCATTGTTATAAGGAGACTTGTATTTGAATAAAACATAAAGCAAATCACTTCAGAAGAATACACTCGATCCAAAGTGCTCACAAGTCACATGGGCATCCTCTGGTACTTTTATGGTACTGTTTATCACTGAGACATTAACACTTCACCCAAATCGAAGTCACAGGCTCTCGATGTTTCAATAAAGTTTAAATCAAGTTTCAATTTATTAAGTGACATGCTGGTATTAGGCATGGAGCTTTTAAAAACCTGTATGTCTGAATATTGCTGTCATGTAGTCCTGTATTGTCTCACTAGGACAGAGGTACTTTACCCCTAGAAAGGCAAAGAAGTACTACGCGTCAGGTAGCCCTTTTGCTTGATGGAAACTAAGACTAAAAAAAAATTACAGACTGAAGAGATATGCTGTGATACCCTCTCATAAGCTAGCCACATCTGAGCTGATGTTCTGGTCACGGTTATTATAGCAAAGAGTTAAACAAACCACAACAGGAAGTAATATACTTGAGATCAAGTACTGGTAACAATGCCCTAGCAACTTTGATCACACTTCGACCCTGGATGACCACACACGACTGTAGGACCTACTGCTATAAAGACCACAGCCTATACTTTTGCCATGCCTAATAGTTTAGTACCTCTTATCTGTCAAACTCAGTCCACGTCTAATATTATTTCAACAAGGAACTATCACTGTCCAGCGGTCCAATATTTACTCAACTTGACCACAGTCAGAGCCAAGCTTCCTGTGTTAAAAAGCTGCATTTGTGTATTTAGCAATTGTCAAACAAATCCACTGGAAGTTTACCAAGGTCTCAATGGTTAACTTTCAATTCAAGCAGACTTTCCCATAGCCATTATCGTGGCTTATGCGAGCCTACTGGGAACCAGCTTGAAATATGTGTGCATCTTGACAGATCACATTCTCTTATTTCTTTTCTAGCCTTTCTTTAGCCAAGCAAGATCTGTTTTGACCTTAAGGTTAGGACAGAACTTTCAAATTATACTCAAAGTCAGATTAAAAAACAAACTATAAATACAGAGAAATCAGAATTGTTACTGCAGCACACGGTTAGATTATTATAAATTGTAAGCAATGGAAATTGGGTAAAAACTTGAGGTAAAAAAACACAAACAAAACCAAAACAAGGATAAATACTGTGTTAAAAGTTTTCTGTCCATCCCAACCAAGATCTAAAATGATTTGCTCTCTCGCGATCAGGTAAATTTAACAGTTTAACTTACCCTTTTCATTCTTTTCAAAAAATGATTACTAAAAAATCTTGCATGCCTGCTGTGTGCAATGCTTCACCTGATTGATGGAGAAAATCACATTCATTGCACAACACAATTAAGCGACATCAACTACTTGTCGTAAAATGAAATGTGATCTGCCGAAAGGTTTTCACGATAGTTTAAGGACATTTTTTGCTTTTACACCTACAATGCATAAAATCCACAGAAGTCTCCACAGAGGCTTACTATAGAATCAGTGATATGTTTATAATGTGCTGAAGACATTTATAGTTTCAAACATACTTTTTTTGGGCTTTTCCTTGACTGATGATGCTTATGGAGTACCAGAGAGCAATGAACCCTCTGGCTCAAAATCCTCTTGACCTAAAATTAGTTACACTTTCACTAAAGTTAAATTCACTTCTTTTCTTTTGTAAACAAACAGGTAAGTCAATATGATTTTTTCTCACACGGCGGATGAGAACAACTGAAATTTCACGAGTGCTTTTGGCTGTATTTATGCGCAAATACAATTTTCTTTCCTGTGTAAAATACATTTAATTTTTAAAATTTTATTTCATTAATGACTCTTTTTTACCCGAGCAGCCTAAAACAAACGACACAGCTTCGGTAAAGCTTCATGCTTCAGGGAACAGAACCAATAACTTGCTAGCACCGATCAGAAATGTACAAACACATGATGCCACAATCGCGTCAATTGTCATCACTGTATCCGTAATATCCAATATCACAGGCGATCCCTTCCAGATCAATATTCTTCCAACTGCTCAACCGTCATCCTTCCGTCCCTTCTTCAATACTGATGTTGGCTGAATACAGTGCCAGTGATTAATATCCAAACAGCATTAAGACAGAAGCATTTTTAGGCATTTCATAAACATTTCAACAGTTTACATTATGTACAAGTCTCGGTAAACAGTTTTATAATGTACCATTTTTTTTTAAGATAACGATACCACAGCTCTCTTGAAACCCGTGAGTTAGTCTAGCTTCCTGTTACAAGTAGAAAAGGGAATTCAGAAAAGCCCTTAATACTACAAATAAAACAGTTGGAAAAAACGTAGAAGAAAAACTGTTAAAAAAAAGTACGGGTAACAGTTACAGCAGAACAAAGATCCAAGGTCTAATCTATGAGATTAGCAGGTCAGGACACCACCCTGAGTCAAACACTAAGTCACAAGCCTTCACACGTGTAGACAAGACCACCTCTTCCTATCCAACTGGTTGATGATTCCTTCCACAAGCCCAACAGAGAGAACTGATTTTTTGCACATTCACAGAAGGAACAAACGTCTCATTAGCGTTGTTTGGCTTATCTTCACTGCGAACCGATGGCAAAAATAATACTCTACAAATACTTTTAAAATTTCTTACATCTAAAAAAAAACACAGAAATGTCTCCCTCTTGGAGAAAAATCTCTTTCTGATAAAAAAACGTGTATCTTTCAGAAAGTAACCGGGAACCTCGTCATTTTTCCCCCTTGTTTTTGGTCAGGAAATGTACTTGGTTTCAGAGCCCAAAGTTGTTGATTTCTGTGTACAAAAAGCAGCATGGTGACAAACTGCATTAGTTGGGTCCTTGTGCTGTGATCCCTTCAGGCCTAGGGTTCCTCAAGCAAAGCATGTCCTTCAAGCCATCCTCCCCCTCAAGTTGTGTCCCCGCCCCCCTCCCCCTTGCTATAGGTGAGCCTGCAGCCAGCTTAGGAGCTGGGTCTCGTAATGTTCGCTGGCCTCCGGCCGGCGGATACCGTGACGCTCCCTTGGATAGATCTGCAGATGAAATTGGAGAATGCTGAATGTAAAAATATTAACTCAACGAAAGACTCCCAGTTTCTCAATATACTAGGTCTCAATATATAGTCAGAACCCAATCTGAACAGTTATGGCCTTTGTGCATGTGCTAAACAAGGGTGCCAAGGGTGCCAACTTGCGAAGACAATGTAAGTCACTGAATACCAAGGTCTGATATGTTGCCTGACAAATTGGTGTGCTTTGTGAGAATCCGCTGAGAACCAGTCACAAACACAACAGACTGCAAGACAGTTTGGCTGGAAACCGGCATTCGCTAAGCAAGTCCGTTCAAATGTTGAGCAGACTGAAGCCGAGATTACGACTCACTTTGTAGTCGGGACAGTTTGTCCTGCCTAGATTAGTTGATCCACTGAAAGACTGGTGTTGATGATTAGTGGACTTTCTTGCTGATGAGGCTGTGCACACCCAAAAGGCATGTAAACAAGCAAAACCAGACAGACTATGGAATTGCCCATCCACAACTTACTTGTAGTTGATATGGCTTGCAGTGCTTGATCAGCTCATCCACTAAGAGACTGGTGTGGACAAAGTGGACGTTCTCGTCGATGAGCCCGTGGACTATCAGCAGTCGGTTCTCTCTTTAAATGAAATAAAATAAAATGGTTCCCTGCAGACGTACTGACAAACATAGGCCGCAGCAAAGTTGAGTCCGTGAAAACCCTTCACAGCAGTGGGATTGTTCGAACAGTGGCGGGAGAGAAACTACAGTAAACGAAATTTTAGGTTAAGGGGTCATCGGTACGTTTATCAACAGCTGAACCCGATGTAACAGTAGGTCAATAAAGCCAGCGCATGTATTTATTTGAAAAAATATTTGGGAGGATTAAGACAAATAAACGAGGAATAGAGATGGTGCAGGTTCAAAGTAAGCATTAAAATCTGACATGTGACGTTTGAAGAAAGCCTCAACATGGCCAAATTATACCCCAATCTACACGTAAATGTTAACTGACTTTTGAAACTGTCAAACCCAAAGTACACAATCATATATCAAACAAACATCGCTACATAGGTTCCACCCTCTTCTCTTTTTCCCCACCCCCAGGCCTGCTACTTACTCATCAGGGAAGTTCCTGGCCATGTTGAGCACTGATCCCGCCGCGTAGCCTGCTGGGTTGTTGAGGGGCGTGTCCATGTATCGCTCAGTGTACCCAGTGTCGTACTCCCTCCAGCAGGTGACGGGTGCACCGGCTATAGCAAGCTGCCGTCAACGGAAAAAAAAAAAAGCAACATCTGAATCATAGATCTTTCAATGACTTCTTACTGTACTCGGACAATGGGAAATACAATGGTATTTTCTAGGTATTGTCAAACCATGTTAAATTTCCTCAATGACGAATTGCGTAGATGTGGGCAAAGTCTGCCTTGAGCCAATGTGGCCCACCAGGCAAGCATTTATCTCTAGTTTCAGAAGCACGAAACAACAATATTTCTAATCCCAGACACGTGAGGGTCATACTTGGTTGGGGTCATTAGCCCCATCGTCTGATATTATACTTCACCATCCAGAAGCACAACACAGGAAGGGTTGTCGCCCACCTTGAAGACGTCCGGTTTCTTGGCCAGGCCAACGAGTGAAAGGTAGCCCCCGTACGACCAACCATGGATGGCCACCCGGGTCAGGTCTATGATGCCCGTCTTGGCCGCTATGTAGTGCAACCCTTCCACCTGGTCCTCTATCTCAATTGATCCCTGGAGACACACACAGGGAAGGGAAAAAATGACAAAATGATGAGGTCCTCTCTTTCTGAAATGCCAGCCTGGCGGCAACCAACACAATGACCAACTTTCAGAGTTGTAGCGAGTCACTAAGTTTTGTGACTCAAATCAAGTCGAGTCACTGTAATGTAGTGACTCAAGATGAGTCATTAGACAATAAGGTTGAGTTGAGTCAAGTATTAAGATCAAGTTAATGCGAGTCACAGATATTGGAGCACAATACAACAAATACGATAAGAGAGAAAGTACAAAAAGTGCAAGTCCTCACAACTGATTTATACACAGCTTCTGTGGACAAACTGCAAACTGAGGACCTACTGCCAAAGGTAACTCTTCAGTTTGTTCATCCTCAATGCAATGAGGCCCAATTGTCCTCTGCAACTTTATAATTCTTCACCATCTGTGATCTGAGGACCCCATGCCTTCTGTAATTCTTTAATTCTCAGCCATCTGTGGTCCGAGGACCTTGTGTCTTCAATTACGCACAATCCACTCACCAGCTGGTTCTTGAGCACCCCTTCAAACTTGAGCCCCCTGCGGGAGGACCCCCGGCTGTCCACCACCACAACAGCGTAGCCCAGCGAGGCCAGTGTCTGCAGTCGCAGCAGTCGTATCCCCTTGTAGGAGTTAGTGACCAGTTGGATCTGGGGGCCGCCGTAGACGAAGAGCACCGTCGGGTGGGGCCGGCTGGGGTCTGTGGAGTGGGGACGGTAGAGGAGGCCGTACATCGCCTCGCCGGTGGCTGCACTGGTGTAGGAAAACAGCTCTGGAGGGATGCAGGTGGCCGGGGCAGCTAAAAAAAGAAGAAAAGTTCTCGGTTTCACCTGAATGCAAAAAAACTGTAAACAAGTTAAGCAGTGCAGTTATCAGAGGGGCAATGTCTTGTGGTCCAGAGACTGTCGGGTTGAAGAAAAGATCCTTTGATTTCAAAGCAATGGAAGATTTAGAAAGCATTAGGGCAATGGTCAAGCCCGTTACGAGTCAACATTGGGTCCTAAGCCATGAAAGAAACTGAATTGAATTAACTGTGAAAGAAGCATTCCTTTGTCATTCTTCATTCTGTCCCCTGTGACAGGTCGTTAAGTGAAATTGGGAAAGGACTTGTGAAGGGATTTGTGACTGGTCTTGTGATGGGCTTGACTACTTAGCCCTAGAGAGAGATACAACTCCTGCCCAACACTTTACTGAAGCAGAAGGAGATCCTATCTGAACAGACACGGGAGGCAAGGACATCGTACCTGATGCCGGCAGCAATGAGCACACGGGCTTGGCCTCCATGCCCAGCGGCTGGGAGCCCATCATTGACAGGCGAAAGATGCTGCTGAACGGCGGTGTAGTGAGGCTGCTCAGGACACATGCCATGTATCTCTGGTCCTGTGGAGACAAGTTACNCGAACCCACGACCTCCTGCTTACTAGTGCAGATGTCTTAACCACTCGACCACCAAGCTTGCCGGGATCGGCTGGCCGGTCCGAGTCAAATAAAGCAGCGGGTACCGCGAACTATTTTCAAGATGTATTTTTTTTTTTTTTTTTTTTTTTTCAAATACATTTTTCTTTTTTTTTTTTTTTCAAATACATCTTGACAAATTACTCAAACTGAAAAAAAAAATCTGGTTCCTCATTACCTAGCGCACAGCACTTCAATCCGCAAACCAAACTAAAGATGTTTTTTAATACAAAAAGCTGCCTTTTCATCAATCAAACTGGTCCCAAGAGTACCAAAAAAAAAGGAATTTGTATACACAGGTCAGGCAAAATTGACTATTAAAGAAATACTGGCCTTATCCACAAGTCAGCCATATTGAATTGAAAGTGAGATTAATTTATTATTTTGGCACCTAAGACTAAAATGAAGCGCTGAAATAAATCTTCATTACAAATTAATGTCACTTATGATGACGACAAATGCAAAATTTGTGATTAATCATATCTAAATGTTTTAAGCCACATTTTTTAAAAAAAAAGGGAAAATGAGGCCTGGAACCCACATAGTCTGGTACCACCCAATTTAACAGATTACACTGAATAGGATTCTGGGAACACTACCAAAATGGCTTCCCCATTAATAACATCTCTTACGTCTAATTTCACTAGTATCGTCTTAGAATCTTTTCTAGTCTCTCTCATTTAGGGGAAGGAAAACACGAGAAAATTCTGAGATCGGTTTCAAACTGAAACACAGAAATCATAACATCGGGACCCATATTGGAAAATAAGGTTTGGGCCGCTAATTCTTACCGGACTGAGAACCACTGTTTGCACGTTGTAGCCAAGCTCCGTTAGCCTGACAGGTGGACTGGGGTTACGGTAGGAAACGACGTACCTGAAATAAACCAAAAGCACGGTGATGAGCCAAGCTGAAAATAACCAAACTGATGGGAAGTTTGGGGGATAAAAATTGTTTTGTGATCCTTAACCTTTTGACAACACGACAACGGTGCTTTGAACATTTCTGAGAGTGTTCAAAAGTTCCAGGTCTCTACGGGGATTCTTGAAATGAGATTGGAGGGGAATTACAAGGACATGCAGCAAATATATACTCATCCAACACCCCTTAAACAATTCCCTCAAAGTTTCTCAAACTGCGAGTTAAAGTAAACAACACTACCAGTGACCAAGTTTCAGCGTATTTTGGGTATAATTTTTAATAGATATCTATAAATTTATATATCGATTTCTGGGCACATATTTGCTAAGCAGAGACAGAGTGAATAGCCAAAATTTCCCCTCTACGCCGTTATTGTTTCCTCTTTGCTATACTCACATGTGTTCTTCCAAGGGTGTGTCATGCAGGGCTTTGTAGTAGACCAGCTGACTGATCTCGTCCACCCACAACTGTTGACCGATGACCTCTCCCTTGCCGGAGGTCAACATTTTGTACTGCAGGATAGCCGGCTTCAGGTTTCCTAAAATCGTAACAAATGCAGTCATTGGCCATGTGCGCAAAAGGAATCACATTCAGCGGGTTTGTTCACGGATACTTTGTCTGCGATGGGCATAACGCTAAAGGGCTCATGTGGTATATTTCTATAGTCCTTGTAAAGGCACATCTAAGCCTATTTTTAACTTTGTTTTTCAAGGATATTTCCTGTTTTGCCATCTCACAGCCATTGAAGTGTCTTTTGGTATTTACGCTTTGTTAATTTGCATATTTATGAGCAAAAAAGTGATGTCATATCAAGACAAAGTCATAGTGTAGTAGTCCTTTGTATTTGAGGTGGCCGTTATTATTTGAAAGAAAATGATGATAACTGAGGTTTTTAAAAAGTTTTCAGAGATTTGTTTGGTCTAGCACCCTGACCTGGTATAGCACCAGGCTGTTGGAGAGCCGAGGTGATGAAGTACAACTGCCGGATACCGGTTGCTTCACTGGCCCACAGGAAGCTGATTTCACCTGGCAATGTTTGGGGGAAGAAATGAATGGCGTCGTGCACCTGGCGAAAAGAACAGAAACAAAAAGAGGAATGAAAAACTGGATCATTTGGCAGTGTAATTTTGTGAGCTCCAACTCATGAGCTCACAAATTGTGGGCAAAATGGTGGCCGAAATTTGACCTATATTGATCGTTCACAGAAAAAAATACACTTGTCCAATTTTTATAGGGCAAGGCCACTCTTAAATCAATTAACGAAATTCCCTATTCACACTTTGTTTTTGTTCATAGCATATTTCAAATAGGCTTGATCAAGTTATTTGACTTCTTTTTTAAAAAATCTATGCTTTTTCAAGATGTGGGACAGGCAGGCCACTTATTTTCTTACAATGCAATTTATTATTATTTTTTCTCAACTTACATTAATCCAGAGATCGGAGTGTTCCTCGTATAGCACCCTGATTAACGACTCGGAGCCGTCGCTCGATTCCCTCATCTCGGCGTCGCTGCAGACAGGAAGGAAGGACTGGAGAGGGATGAGGATGACGGCCGTACTCTGCTGGTTGCGATTCAGGAGCTGGGCCCACATGCTGTGAGACAAGGTCAAAGAAGTCAGGACGCCAGACACACAGTATAAACTTTACGTTTTCTTTATGGCACTTGGGGGCAGTGCATGGCTATCACTAATGCTGAAGAGTGCCCTCTGTGGGTCCAACAACTTACTTGTTTCCGTCTGGTGTCCAGCCTACTCGCACTATGTATTCCAGCCAGGGAAAATGTTTAGTCAGTGGCTCACTCAGTTGCTTGTCAGTCACATCAACAATCTAATTTAAAAAAATGAATTATGAACACAAATAAAAAAAAGATTCTGCAGTCCTAACAACGTGCAATGATTGCTTATTTAGAGGTGCAAACCAGACTCGGAGCATGAAACAAGGAAGTAATTTCAATGCAAAGCGGCTCTACACATGTGGTCCCAGCCAGATCACACAACACACAAAAACATACTGTGTTCCTTTCCTTAGTGATGAAATTGAAGTAATGTGTCATGCTCAGGAACATAACATGCCACAGAGGACACCTTCTTTTCTCACAGCCTCGGTTTTGCCAAAGATGGCACTGTGGCTGGCCACCAGTACCAACATAGAACAATTCAGAAAGAATTAACAATCTTTAATGGAATCATCTCCCTTTTAAATTTAACTGAGTTAAGCAAAACCTCTCCTCTTCATTGCAAAAATGCCCTACCTTGCCTTCTGTGTCCACTGAGAACTCCACCAATTTCAGGATGACTTTGGAATTTGTCGTACCTGTGTTAAGGAAACGGGCATTTAAATAAATAAAAGATACTGGCCCTGTAGGTAAAGTATTTTACGTGGGAAAGCTGACATTTTGAACAAAAAGCCACATAAATATTGACTTCCTGGATAATGAAACAGTTTTTTTCTTATTTCTGTGCAATATACGGTACTGCATTTTTATCTGAACATTCTCAAAAAAAAAACCACCTCCTAAAAACTAATTAACATCAAAGTTATCCCGCATTTTCATAGCAAATTTTCTGCTTGAACAGTTTGGTAAATAAAGTTGGTGATCATGTCTTGCATTGCTGTCAGTCCAAATCTTTGAGAACTGCTACTTGTCCGCCCATCCCACAAAGAACCGAGCCCTGCCCCCGAAGTGGATACAGCCATTTGAAACAAGATATGGGACGGAGAGAACCCCCCCACCTTTGTAGTGGTCATTGTTTGATCGGAATCTCAGGAATTCTTTACAGACTTCTAAGG